CCAACCCCAAATCCTAGCCGCCAGAACCCTCACCGGAGAAGACAACCCAGCCATCGGAGGAACCGACCGCCCCCACCCCCCGCCGCACCAGAGCACCTTCTAGCCGCCAAACGAGGTAAAATTTCTCCCCTTCGCTTGTTTTTCGATGCTGAACCTCCCTGTGGCCAAATCAGAGCCAAACCACCGGTCAATTGGCCGAAAAATACCGCCGAAGTCCAGCGGCGCTGTTGCAGATTTTTTCAGTTTTTGCCTCCGATGAGGCCCTTCCCGGTTCTCGTTCGATGTAATTTTTACACCACTGTGACCACCGTCCTTTTCTCTACAGGTTGACTAGAGCAAAACACCAAATCGCAACTCGCACCGAAGGAGTCGTCGCACTCGAGAGCTCCGTCGTCGGTAAGTCTCCATTTTCTGTAATTTTTTTGCCCACCGAGGGTGCTAAGAGTGTTTTATCACAGGAACCAATGCAAGTTTGACTGAATACGACCAAAAATGATCGGCAACGTCCAACCCAAGGCGGATCGCCACCGTGGGCGGCGGCGCCGACGTTGGAGCACGATGGAGCCGACGTTGGAGCACGGCGAAGCCGCCATGCTGGAATTTTGAAATTGACCGAATAAGCCTTGGGTCTGATTTGAGGTTTTTTGGGGACATGTGCAAGTACTGGAAGTGTGTTTTAGCTTCCGGAGAAAAATTTAGGGAATCTAAGGACTGCCCGTATGCACAGTGAGAATCCGATTTCAGACTCCGAAACAAGTAAGGATCTCTCACCCTATTTTCTATCACGGTATTAAAGTCTAATAAATGATAAAATGGTATTTTATGAATTTATGGATATGTATAATTAATTAAAGTTGTTAATGGAGCCCGAATCTGATCTATTTTTTGGTCAGTTCCTGTTCGATTTATTGTACAGTCTAAATGCAGTGTAGTATCTGATTTGTTTATTCTGTGGCTCCGTATGCATGAATAAATGTTTAATCTATTATGATTTGAATTATTGTGAACCTGATGTTGTGTTGCCTTATTTGGTGTGTGTTGCTGGTTTACGTATTTATGTTGATTGGGTAATTGAGACTAAGTAAAATAAGGATGGTATGTGAATTTATAAGTGAATAAGTCGACAGCCTCACTAGATATCCTAGGAGATGGTGGACAGATAGGGTCCATAAGGAAACCGGAAACGTGGTCTCTCATATCGGACGGGGTATAGAAACTTTAAACGTTTTGGCACTCATACCGGACGGGGTATGAGGACGGACCGCTTCACCCTCGTACCGGACGGGGTATTGAGGTTTATGGTTTTAGCACTCATACCAGACGGGGTATGGGGACGGTCATAGAATTAAGGAGAATGGTTCACGTGTAGCGGGGACCCCCTATGGATCTCCATGTATACTAATAGGCTGATAAAAGATGAAATTTGTTGCATGATAATTGAAATACAAAAGTATGATATGTGTTATGTTAGAGAGTGTGCCTGATCTTATGATGTTTATAATGTTATTATTTTCATAAGTTGTTTTCATGAATCTCACCGAGGTAAGTGAACCGTAAAGGGTTTTATTATTAATAAATAAATTTTTTATGAATTATGCTCAATTGGTCTTTTTTTTTTCTACCAACCTTTATTACTGTGACAGTGAGATAGTGTAACATCTTTACTAGGATAGTATAGCTTATTACTTACTTAACCATTTCATATCAGGAAGACTTGGTTCCCGAGTCCGTTCAGCAGGAAGATGGTGAATAGAAGCCTAAAGATTTATTTGTTTTCCTTATAGTATTCATTTATAGTATTTCCTTCAGTTAGTTTTTTCTTTCATATCTTTAATACATTTTGATTATTTTGTAAGGATGTTAATAATAATCTATTTAGTTCGCTTCCGCACTTAGAATAAATATATACATTTCATTTTAATT